GCGGGTTCCGCGGCTGCACGGCGGACCCGCGGGGATTCTCGCGGGGCGGACTCCCTCCTGCTGGAGACAGCCTGGAGCCGGTCGCGGTGGCTGACGCCTGCCATCCCAGCACTCCGGAAGGCGGAGGTGAGAGGATTGCCTGGGTCCAGGAGTGCGAGACCAGCCTGGGCAGCTTGGCGAGACCTCATCTCTACAAATATTAAAAATTAGCCGGGGTGGTGGCGCATTCCTGTATTTCTCGCTACTTGGGAAGTGGAGACGGAAGGATGCCTGAGCCCAGCAGGTCGAGGCTGCGGTGGCCGTTAGCGTGCCACTGCAATCCAGCTTGGGCGACAGAGTGAGACTCCAACTCAAAAAAACAAACAAACAAAAAAATCCAACACAGCCTCAAGTCCCGTGTCCCCATGACGCCCGAGCCTGGTTCTGAGCCAGGTGCGACCCACCCCTTTGGCCTGCCCGGAAAGCTGAGACTTCTTGGATGGAGTAAAAATCTGGGTGTAAGAGCAAAATGGGTTTCTGAACTGGAAGCCAGGACCTGGCAGGTGGTGAGCGCACCCATCAGCACAGCCAGCACCCCTCGTGACAGCCACCCTTGTTGCTGAGGCCATCCAACCATTCCACTGTTACTTGATCAGTTAGCAGGGTTTGCGTGTTTTGGAGCGGGTGGCCTGGAGGACTCCCGGATTTAGAAGAGACCCCCCTCTGCCATCAACTGCTAGTACCTCTCTGGTTTTCATCATCAGTGGCATAGCACTTGACCGGTTTTATTTTTAACTTGCTTCACTAGCTAACACGGCAAGAGACTCAGTATTTATTGAGTAAATGAATGAATTAAATGAACAAATTGTGGTTAAACACGTGGAAGCAGCATGCTATTAAATTTGAGAAAATGAGGCAGCATATATTGAGGTTACACATGTGGCTTTTGAAGCAAAAAGCAGTGCCAAAGTTCAGCACTCAGGTTGGTCTTTTTATTAGGGCAAATCTTTTATTCTGAAGCTTTTGCCTCGGCTGTGAAACGAAATGATATACCTACCCTGTAGAATATGTAGAGATTGGCATGCTGTTTAAAGCAAAGTGAAGCTTTTAAAGAATTAAGGTGCCGGGCGCAGTGGCTCACACCTGTAATCCCAGTACTTTGGGAGGTAGAGGCGGGAGGATTGCTTGAGCCCAGGGGTTGAGACCAATGGGTGACTTGGCAAGACTTTGTCAATACAATAAATAATAAAATTAGTTGGGCATGGTGGTGGACACCTGTAGTTCCAGCTACTTGGAAAGCTGAGGGGACAGATCACCTGAGCTCAGAAGTTTGAGGCTGTGGTGGCCATGAGTGTGCCACTGCACTCCAGCCTGAGCAACAGAGACGCCTACTCAAAAAAACAAAAACCCCAGCCGGGCTCGGTGGCTCAGCCTCGTAATCCCGCGCCTTGGGAGGCTGAGATGAATGGACTGCCTGAGCCCGCGGGTTTCAGACCCGCCTGGGCAACTTAGCGAGACCTCATCTCTACAATAAATCAAAATATTAGCCGGGTGTGGTAGTATGTGCCTGTAGTTCCAGCTACTTGGAAGGCGGAGGCGGAAGGATTGCCGGAGCCCAGCAGGGCGAGGCTGCGGTGGCCGGGAACGGCCACTGCACTTCAGTCTGGGTGACAGAGTGAGACTCCAACTCAAAAAAAAAAGAAAAAAATATGATGGTGCCACTGCACTCCAGCATGTTGCCAAAAAACAAAAAGAGTTTGGGCCCGGTGTGGTGGCTCATGCCTGTAATCCCAGCACTTTGGGAGGCTGAGGTGAGAGGATTGCCTGAGACCCTGGGTTCGAGACCTGCCTGGGCAACTTGGCGAGCCCTCATCTCTACAATAAATAAAAAAATTAGCCAGGCATGTTGGCACATGCCTGTAGTTCCAGCTACTTGGAAGGCTGAG